ATAATAATAACTGGTGTATAAATATAAAATAAATTTTTTCCATTGCGTATAATATTGCAAGAAGTTATTAAGGGATATAAATGTGCAATTACTTTAAAAAAAAAAAGAAAAAAAAAGAAAAAGAAAAGAAAAACAGAAAAACTGAAAAACAACGAAAGTTACCTTAAGTCTAAATTAAAACGTATATTAATAATTCCATCAATTTATTTTACTTTCCTCGACGTATTTCAATAATACATTCTAATCGATTTTATTTAGATGTCGCTTATCCCGACGATCTCGATACAGTGTATAACTACGAAACGAGATTCGAAGAAGGGAAGGACGAACTGAATAAACGTGAAATAATTAAAAGTTTCTTCTCGTTCATTCAATGCCATCACCGATCTCTCTCTTTCTCTCTCTCTCTTTCTTTTACACATTATTTTTATTTCTTTAACCCTCCCCCTTGCCCACGTTGAACAGAGAACTCGTTCGTAAACTCCATAAAGAAGGAAGACAATATTTCCTTCTTTAAATTCGAATTGAAACGATTTTATTCGAGCTTATGGAAAAAAAAGGAGAACAAAAAAAGAAAGAAAGAAAACAGAAACATTAATTATATCTCGCAAATTAATTATATCTCTTTAATTGTTCACTTATCTTTCACAAAAAAGAAAACGATAGATTCTTCGAATTGAACGAATCAGTCTTAATCGTTATATGCGTTCGATTATTTGTATAAAATAGAACAGAAAAAAATAAATAAATAAATAAAAGAAATAAAAAAAGGAACAATTGAATTTCATTCATTTTACCGATTGACGAACATATCAATGACATATATACATATATATATATATATATATATACATATACATATCATTATATACATGTGCAAGTAAACAAGCTCGCGCGCTTGTCAAGGGATGAATATCGACGAAACGAACGATAGATATCTTTTTAATATACACCCCTCTTTTCGAATAGAAAATGTTTCGAAAGTTTACAAAAGAATCCAGGTCAGGTCAGCTGCTGCTTGATCATCATCGTCGTGTTTTTCGTTGACAACGTTTCGGTCCGACCAAGTTCACTCGTTATATTCCTTCTGACGTGATCAAAGATCATGACTCGGTAGATTCATGTCGTTCTGCAATCAATCATCCCAACAAAGCTTTGAAATTTTCAACAAGGATACAAAAGTTAGAGAAAGATAGATAGATAGATAGATGGATAGAGATAGAGATGGAGGGAGAGAGAGAGAGATTGTTGGAAGGAAAAAGGATAGAAGATGAGGAAGATGAAGAGGAGGAAGAGAAGGAGAAGGAGGAGGTTTGTGGAATAGAATGAAAGAAAGAAATGAGGCAGTTTTTGATATATACTCGAAGAGAAAGAGAAAGAGTGAGAGAGAGAGAGAGAGAAAGAAAAAGGATGATGCATTATTCCGTAATAACTCCGAATACCCGATGATTATGGCGACTGGAATCTTTTGTAATCTTGAATCAAAATGTAAGTGGAGATGTTACCCGTGGTAATTCAACCGAATTGCGATTTAAATTTTATTGTAAAAGTGGAATATTCCTCGGGATATATATATATAAACATGACGAGCGAGAAATGGGAGAAGGAAGAGAGGTCTGTGATCTTGACCGGAAGAAACTCGTCGTAGAACGGGGGTGTATTTTCAAGAGTATCCTTCAACGTGATTGGTACTCTCAGATGATGAATTTCGTGGCAATTTCATGGAAGATGTATTTTCTCTCTCTCTCTCTCTCTCTCTCTCTCTCTTCCTTTTTCTCTCTTTCTATCTCTTTATCATTGATCGCATGCGATTTTCCTCGTTTTACTCTCGCAACGAATTTAATTAGAAACCCTTTCGTGTATTCCAAATTTAATATCGTTTTAATCGTTACGTGTAAATAATTACGATCGTTTTTTTTTTTAAACGTTTTCAATGCCATATGGATTTTATTCAGTCGAGTAAATAAATAACTTATTTCTTTTAATTAGAACAGTTCAGATTTTCATTCAATTACAAATCTATTTTTATGTGATATAGTTGAGAGCAAAGATGGCAAAGGATAGAGGGATGAAAGGAGAGATAGAATGGGAGGAAGGCCATAGGATGGATAAATGGAAAGAATGGGAGGATGGCAACGAAGAATAATCAGATAATACTACGTGGACTAAAAGATTTACGAGATTCGCACATCCTTTTGTTAGTTCAACAAGAATGAAGTTAACACTAGATCACATCTTACGAATTTAGAAAAGGTTCCTTGATGGTTATAAAAGGGATAACCCACGAGATGGGGGTGGTGGTGATAGGGGGGGGCATTGGGGATACACCGATCGATCCCTGAAAAAGGGATACCACGTGTATCTATTTACATACATACATACATACATACATACATACATATACACGTATAAAGGTTTCCAATTTTCTACGATGTAAACGAAAGGGGAGATTTTATTATCGATACGTTTAAGGATTTTTGGTTGTCCATTGTATGACGGAACGAGAGCGGTGGGGGGGGGGGGAGTTGTAGGGAGGAGGAGTAGGAATAGAAAGGAAAAATTTCATTTTTTCTTCTTCTTTTTTTTCTTTTTTTTTTTTTTCTTTTTTTTCGAAGCACATCGATCAAAAATCTATTCGAGAATAATTTCTTACGTATTAATGACAAATCACTTATAAAATTTTACAATTTTATACAACGTTTACATCAATTTACATCATTATTTTTTTCTCGATCTATCTAATCAAAGAGATACCCGTTGATAGTTCGCGAATGAAAGAGGGAAAACATGATAGGCTGAAATTTTTCAATCAACGTTGCTATCTAAAAGAGAAAGGAACAGAGAGAGAGAGAGAGAGAGAGAGAGAGAGAGAAACATAAAGAGAAAGGTAGAGGAGATAGACAGACAGAGATAGATAGATAGATAGAGAGAGAGAGAGAGAGAGCGAGAGAGAGAGAGAGAGAAAGAGATACAAATAGAGAGAGGAGTTTCATCTCAATAATTACCCGAACGCAGAGTACCGAGGAACGCGTTAGCGTAGTATTCCTGTACGCCCTCTGATTAAAGTTAAAATTGTCATCGGTGTTGGTAGCATTCAAGACCATTTCGTGCTTCTTTCTCATCAAGATGATATAGGAGAGTCTCTGCTTAAGTGAAAAAAAGAAAGAGAGAGAGATAGAGAGATAGAGAGAGAGAGAAGCATCGTGAGGCAACTTCGAATACGGACTCGAACACTCAACCAACCAAGTTTCTTCTTCGTCTTCGTCTTCGTCTTCTTTTTTTTTTTTTGTTCCGTTTCTCGTGCACATTTTCTCGTCCCTTTGAAGGACGAGAGAGAGAGAGAGAGAGAGAGAGAGAGAGGTCGACATTTCGATAAAATTCCATTTTCATTGGAATCGATTCGTATTCGTTTCGCATTGAAAATTACGATGGTTAAATGAAATAGTTATTTTCTTTTTCTTTTTTAATTTTCTTTCCTTCTTCCTTTCTTTCCTTCTTGCTTTCTTTCTTTCTTTATTTTTTTATTTATTTTTCTTTTAATTAAACTCGATGCCTTTGTCAACGTGACAAACAACGAATTAATTCTCTTTTCGTCGGCAATTTTTTTCATCTTCATTTTCTATTTTTCTTTTTCGTACGCATGAGAAAAGCACGCAACAGTGATCTGCAATTCTTCGCAATCGATGAAATATATTCGTTCGAACGATTTGAAATGACTATAATAATTGCAATAATCACAAATAAATAATTAAATAAATGTATACATGAAAGGGTGCAAGGAAGAGAAAAAAAAAATTGCAGGAGCAATCGAATCTCGGGGATGTAGGAAAGGTCAATAATGAAATAAATTTATCGAAAAGAAAAATTCATTCGTTTGTCTCGTTAATTTTTTAAATGTCGAACGATTAATCGAATCACAAACTTGATCGAATCCGATTATACAAGTTACGATTTATGCAATTTTCATTTACGTCAATTGTCTCTTTTATCATTAATACAATTCTATAATATCACGTGTACTTGTACGTACATATGTATGCTATTCAATTAATATTTTAAATGAACACAACGAAGAGTTTCGAATATAACGAAAATTCCGATTACGTATTATTTACTTGATTAAAGTAGCACCACTTATGGTTCCTATTTTAGATTAGATTCCTTTGGTATATTTTCATCCTATATAGGTTCAAACGTGTAAATATTTTTAGATCCTTGGGGGGATTGAAATCTAAGTACCTATAAATTTCGTTTACTTAGGGTCGGCAACTCGAGAAGCATTAAAAGAAGTTAGGCCATTGTTTATAGCACCAAGCTTATAAATAATATATATATATATATATATATATCGTTGGCAAAACGTCGATATAGATTTATATTGCAGTTTAAAAATTCTCATCCCTTTCTCCTCCTCCCACCCCTTTCCAAAAAAAAAAAAAATTCATAACATTTTATAATTGAATTAATTGATCTCACGTTTGCCAAATCGTTGATATATGAAGAGAAGAAGAAACAAATACGAAAAAAAAAAAAGAAAAAGAGAGAAAAAGAAAGAAGAGAAAAGAAAAAACAAAAACGAAAAATTGATTCGATTTAAAAATTTTTTGCCATCATTTTGATTTGCAAAAAAAAAAAAAAAAAAAGAAAAAAACAAGAATGCAAACGAAAAAAGTTCTCTCGGTAGAACGGTCATATTCTCGTTCGCATCAAACAAATCTGTAAAATAAAATAAAAACAAGTTTTTCTTTTTTCGATAGATATTTCAATTTTAAATATTTCAATTTTTTTTTTTTTATTTTCTTTTTCTATTTTTTTATTTTTTTTTATTTTTCATTCTTTTTTTTTTTTTTTTTCAAAACAAACAAGAAAATCTGCGTAGCTGTGTATGTATATGTGTAATGAAAAAGAGAGAAATAGATAGATAGAGGAGGAGGAGGAGAGAGAGCGAGCGAGAGAGAGAGGAGGAAACTAATATTTAAAAATATTCTTTTTTGTTTCAGATGCTCGCAGGTAAAGGTGAACTATCGGGAGAAGGAAAAGCAGGTGTTGGACAACATCTTAGGGCCAGGACGATACGACGCGCGTATCCGGCCGAGCGGGGAAAATGGAACAGGTGAATATAGAGTATCTCCATTTATACACAAACACTTTCCTTTTTCTCCATATATATATATATATATGTGTGTGTATAATATATATATATATATATATAGACATCTCGAACAGTATAATATTTATAATACCGACTTACACAGCGAGATACCGTGAATATACGCGTTGAATAGTGCAGTGCTGGCATAGGAATGAAAAATTTCAACGAGGAAAGAACGTGCAAGGATATCGATCACATATAAATACGATTAACGAGAACGGATCATCGATCAGAGAGAGAGCAAAATAATCAAAGTAACGAGAATACGGTTGAGTGCGAAAGAAAAGAAAAAAAGAAAAAAAAGAAAAAAAAAGAGAAAAAGAAAAAAAAGAGAAAGAAAGAAAGAAAGAAAGAGAAAAAAGGAAAAACGAAAAGAGAAAAAACGGAGAAAGAAACGAAAAAAAGAAAAATTGGAAAACAAAAGCACGACAAAAAATGAAACGAAAAATAATATAATACGAGAGAAAAAAGAAAACGGAAAGAAAGCCCCCCCCCCTCGTAACAACCCCTGCCCCCCACCAACACAACCCCTTGCCCGCCACCGCCCCGTTAGCCCCACTCAATTTTGCGGCACATGCCCCCTCCCCCCCAAAACCCCCCACTGGCCCCGCCCACAGCACACCGAACGCTCTTCGAAAGCTTTTATTATATCGATACGTCGAGAGTATTCATCGAGAGTATATATATATATCAATATATATATATATATATATCAATATATATATATATATATATATATATATCTATATCAATATATATATATATATATATATATATATATATATCTATATCAATATATATATATATATTGATAAAGGAAAAAATTAAAAAACAAACAAACAAATCAAATAAATAAAGAAAACAAAGAAAAAAAAATAATAAAAAGACAAAGGAAAAAAAGGAGGGAAAAATTTTATATATATATACACTATAAAAAAAAAATCTAATTATTGATTTTTCGTTGTTTGCGATCTTATCTATCTATCCATCCATCTGTCTGTCTTATCTATCCTTTTATTTATATATCTGTATATCGAGCGAATTAAATATTTGTACGTAATATATTGAACATAAAAGGGATATAGGAACTTTCTTTTTTTTTTTTTTTTTTTTTTTTATTATTTCTTTTTATTATCTTCCTTCTTTTTCTTTTTTTTTTGTCTTCAGCGAAACAATCCTGAACAAAAGATCATATTTCTCTGGGGATAACGTTTTTTAAAGGACTTTACGTATTGGGCGACGCAATTTCGCGAATATCCACGATACTTCGTATAAGTTCAAAGGAAACTTATAGCTTTTACCGTAACTGGTCCATAACAACCCCCAACCCCTAACCCTCAACCCCCAATCCTTGCAACTCTTTCTCCAGCTCGTACCCTTCCGATTCCCGCTCACATTTATCTCTCTCTCTCTCTCTCTCTCTCTCTCTCTCTCTCTTTCTCTTTGTCTCTCTCTCTCTCTCTCTTTCTCTGTCTTCCTTTATCTATTTATTTATCCTTCTGTCGCTTCGTATAACCATTCTAGATTTCGTATAAAGCGAGCTTTTATGGGAGACAAGGCTATATACTGGAAAGAAGAAAAATGTGAGAGTAAAAAGGAAAACGAAAAAAAAAAAAAATAAATAAATAAAACAACAGACGATCCATCGAAACGCATCGATGGAATTGTTTCTATTTTTATTTTTCTTCGAAGTCAATTGATTTCTATTTTCTTTCCATTTTCGCGCTCTAGTATAGCTCTACGAAATTCTCTTTCTTCATGTCTATCTGAAATATGTTCTGGGTCTTTTATTTTCTTTCCATTAAAAAAAAAAAAAAAAAAAAAAAAAAAATAAAAAATAAAAAAGAAGGCAAGAAAAAAAAAAAAAAAAGAAAAAGATATTTTCGAGATCGCACTGAATTAAATTTTTTTTTTTCGATTACGTTCCATCGATAGCATCGAGAAAATTCATACTCCCTTTTTTTTCTTATTCCAAATTTTTCAACATCAAATATCGGGAATATATCGTTTTGCGAAAGAAATTAATTTCTAATATGTGACGTTAATTATTGTCTTTCTTTCTCTTTTTTTTTCTTTTTTTTTTTGCTTCTCTTCTTTTTTCACGTAAAATAAATCCATCAAAGCTTTCAAAACGTATCCGTCTCTCTTATCTCGTATCTCTTAAAATCTATTATCTTTATCGTTTATTATAATCGTCGATACGATTATACGAATTTATATCACTTTATTGTATACAACGAATATGCAATCATTTTGAAAATTTCATACAAATTGAACTGAAATAAACAAAAAAAAAAAAAAAAAAAAAATATAAAAAAGATAAATAAGTAAATAAAAAGGAAAAGAAAGAACGATCTCGATTAAATCGTTGTTCCAAATGATTCGTAGAAAAAAAAAGAAAAAAAAAAAAAAAGAAAAGAAAAAGAAAACGAGCCGCGAATAAATCGAACAAATATTCAATTTAATTAATATCCGTCGTTCGTATCGAACAATATCGTACGTTGGGAAGATTCGAAAGATATTAATTTAATTGGTCAATTGATATTTAAATTTTCAATGCGAATTTTTTCTTTCCCTCTCCCAATTCTTCTTTCCCTTTCTTTCTTCGTCTTTTTTTTCTAGAAATGAATTCGATCCTTAACGTTTTAAAAAGTTTCGTCGTTTAAACTAAAAGGTAACGTCAGAAAAAAGAAATGGAAGAAGTAAGGGGAAAGAGGAAGAACATAAGCATTGTGGTAGATCGAAGTACTTTCTTCTTCTTCTTCCTCTTCTTTTTTTTCTTTTTTTGTCTTTCTTTCCTTCTTTTTCTTTTTTCCTGCTTTAGCTCCATGATAACTTGAAGAGGTCTTATTCCTTGATACGACCACGCGGGAGAAGTTGATAACTATATAACGGTAGGGGCGCATGCCGGATGGATGCGCTGGAGGATTGGAGGATTTGCCGTGGAAAAGATCGCGAAATCTCTGCCTTTCGTAGTATGTCGCCTGGTCCTTTCAAAGAAATATAACCTGCATGTACTAAAATATATATATATATATATATATATATATATATATATATATATTTATATACACATGCATACATACATACATATGTCGATGCTTCCGCATCATTGTCGTGCCAAGCACAGAATGAATAGCTCTCTTCTTCGTAGTTGGTGACCATGACACATAAGACGCAAATAACACACAGAAATAGAAAAAGAGAGTAGACAGACAGACAGACAGAGAGAGAGAAAGAGAGAGAGAGAGAGAGAGAGAGAGAGAGAGAGAGAGAGAGAGAGAGAGAGAGAGAGAGAGTGAAGAAGAAAGTGTGTGTGTGTGTGTGTGTGTGTATACGCATAGAAAAGGGCGGGGGAAAGAGCGTGTATGTCTTTAAGAAAGAAAAAATTTGTAATGAAGCAACGTGTAAATTAGAATATATCTTGTCGTGAAAAATCATTAAAAAATTTCTTAATAACTGATGTATAATATGTATATGTATATGTATATATACGTATATAAGAATGTATGTATGTATGTATGTATGTATGTATCGTAGAATTGTTAAAGAAAAAACGCGAGAAAAGAAACATTCGAAGTACACGATATTAATGAAAGGAACTTTCATTAATTTCAAAGCATCATCATCAGCGGTACCGAGGTAAAGGTAGAGAAAAAGAAAAAGAAAAGAAAAAGAAGAAAAAGAAGAAGAAAAAGAAAAAAAAAATACCTGACGTAGTACCTAGTAGTTTGGACTCGAATTTTTTTTTACCATTCTCCATTCATGTTTTTAGAATTATTTCTTTTTCTTTCTTTTTTTTCTTTTGTTTTTTTTTTTTTAATATATTTCATGGAGGATACGCGATCGATTAATTTCTATTAAGTAATTTCGTAATACTTACGTTAGATTACTTATTCGGATTATTTGCGAATGTAAATTACATTTTTATTTCTTTTTGTAAATTTGTTTTTCTTTCTTTTTCTTTTTCTCATTCCTTCCTTTTCTTTTTTCCTTTGACACTTTCTTCTCTGTCGATCGGTATATCAATGATATATCTCGAATGACGAGAAACATTTTAATCGACATTAATTCTTTATTAAACGTCGATCCGATAAAAACGAAAGAGAGAGAGAGAGAGAGAGAGAGAGAAAGTACGATAAGAAAATGTTTCGTAAAAGAGCGAAACACTATCTTAATATCTTTAGAAAAATGATGAATCGTAAATTTTTTATCGGCAGATGATTTACATTTATGTACATTTATGCAAATCATTTATAAACAATCCACCCACCACCACTCTTCCTTGCTACCAGGCGATCGTTTTAGAAGTACGGTGAAAAGTACGGAGAAGTAGAGTGGCAGTGGGAAGCGGGACGATGGAGAGGGAAGGAGAGGGGAGAAGGGGTTTATAGGAGGAGGGATGGAGGATAAGGGATAAGGGATGGGATCGAAAAGAAGAAGAGCTTGTTCTAACTGAAGAGTCATTCCAATTTGTTTATATTCGCGCGTCCTACAACGACGAATTTGCGTCGCCCAATAGTAATTTAGGGATATTGATTTGATCCAATAATCGATCTATAGCAAAAAACTTTCGAATTGATAAATAAATAGGGACTCGAAAATTTATGGTTATATACTTATATATATATATATGTATAGTATATAAGATTTATCTTCTTTTGCGATCGAATAAATCGACATTACTTTTGTTTAACTTGAATCTTATGAAATTATTAATCGTGAAGATCTATTATCCTTCTACCGTTTCTATTTTTTTTTCTCTTTTTTTCTTTTTTTTTTTCTTTCTTGGAAGACTTCACTTACACTTCTCTCTTCTCTATGTACTATATATATTTATCTATATATTTTTGTTGTCGTTGATTTATCCCTGTTAAATTAATTATTAATTCTTCAAAAGCTAACAATTTCTCTTTTGCTTTTCTTTTCTTTTTTTCTTTTTCTTTTTTTTTTTCTCGTAA